AACGGCAAAGATAGGAGAAACGTGGCCAGTAAGTTAGGGGTGGAGGATAAATGGAGCCAGTAAGTTAGGGGTGGAGGTTTTCAGGGCAATAGGAAATGACAGTGGAGAAGGGAGGGTGGGTGCAGAGCTCCCAGCTGTGAGAGGCTCCATTCACAGATAACTGGGAGGAAAGTGTTAGCACACAGTCCCAGCTCCTCTCTAGAGGACGGCACTCAAGCCTTCTGCCTTCCCTCTGCTGGCGCCGATAGTGAGCACTTAAGTAGCTGTAGGTTCTCCTAAGTGGTTTTACCGCTTTCCTCCTGAGCTGCAGAGAGCGTTTTGTGATTCTGTCAAGTGGGTTAAGCTCCTTGGAGAGAGATTGCAATTCTTTGTTCTTTATTCACTCAACAGACATTTTTCAAGCACCCACATGGGCAGGGGCTGTGCCAGGCACTAGGGACCCCACTAATCACCCAGGACTGCGTGGTCTGGATGGGGAGACTGACTGAGCCAGCACAGGCAGCCCAAGAGAAGAAAGACAGGCCCTTTGGTCAGGCTGCCCAGATCCACATCCCAGCTCTGCTCCTGGCTGTTGTGTCTCCTTGGCCAAGCCTCAGTGTCCTAGTCTGTAACATGGAGCAGTAAGAATTCTTATCCCATGTGGGCGTTGAGAGGATTAAGCGAGAGGATGTATACAATTTGTAGAGCAGTGCCTGGCATTAGTGAACACTCGATGGTATTAATATCATAATGTTAATGATTTATTAATATTACTACATAAAGGCTGTAATAGACCTAAAGAATGTCATGAAAATTCTGAGGGCTAAGTGATCAAAGACTCATGGAAGTGGCTTTTTTTTACATCAATCTTAAAGGATTAGTGGGGCTTTATCAAGAAAAAAACGTTGTGGGTTGTGGGGAGATCATGCACTAAGATTCAGGCAGGAGAAAGAGCAGGCAGGAAGTCCCATTGTGAGTGATTACTGGGGGACAGCTGCTGGCTGTGAGATCTGGGGGCTGAGGGAGGGGCTGGCGTGAGGCTGGGGAGGAAGGTGGTAGGGCCTGTAGAAAAGGGCCTTGGTCTGCATGGACATAAGTCCCAAACACTTCTGGCTTAGAATTGCTTCATTTGTTATTTCTTTTCTGCAAAGTAGATTTAAAAGAAGTTGCCATTTTAACCCCTTTCTCCCTTCCCTGGGCAGTGAAATGCTAGGTGTGGTCCTTTACTTGCCAGGGCTGTTGAGCTCTTAGGGACTGAAAAACACATTTGTCTTGCTGTCCCTGAGCTGTCAAATGGAGGTCAGGTAGGGGGACATGGGCAGCCCCTTCACATCAGTCCAGCATATGGAGCACAGACCTCCCCATCCAGGCACCACTGAGGCTTCCCAGTTCTGTGATCACTCAGAGGTGTTGCTGCTTGTGGGAATTCACAGAGAGCAAATCACTCTGGGTCACTATGGACTTTCTACCTGTCTCTCTTCTGCCGGTCACATGCTGCCTCAGGCCAGGGGCTGGAAACCCTCCTAGAAGATGTGGCTAACTCGGGCTTCTGGGCTAGAGGAGCCAGTGGCCGTGTGCCTGAGACTTTGCTGAATCAGCCATTGCCCTGTGGCATCCCCCTTGCTGCTGAGACCTCAGTCCCAAGGTCACAAATGTCCCTGGATGGCTCCGGCCTTTCCTTCACAGCTCTCTGCAACTTTACACCGTGAACACTGCGTACTTATCGAGCACTTGCCAGGCCCAGGGGGTGCAGTTATGAATGAGACAGACACCATCCTTGGCTTTGTGGAACATATAATGTGGCAGAGATAGACACTGAATAAACCATTGCAAGTGGTGTGGATAGGGCTAAGAAAGGGGGATGTTGTGGCCTGCAGGACGCGGAGAGGAACCTCATCTTCAGGGTGTGAAGAGGTCGGGAAAGGCCTCACAGAGGAAGCAAACTGTCTCTGGTATCTAAGGATGCTTGGGCGGGGGCAGGGTGAAGCAACTGGGGAGACCTCCCTCACCAAGCCGGCTCCTGACCTGGCCCTGTGGGCTTCCCCAGCCGTGTCTTCCTTGGCCTGCTTGGTGCCTTTGGCACTCTTGCTTTCCCTCTCTTCCTTCAATTTCTTCCCTCCCAGCCGAGTCCTCCTTTCCCCTTTTCTTTTCAAACATTCTTCTGTCCCCTTCGCTGGTTTTCTTGCTCCCCACACATAATCCTGGCCTTCCCAGAGGATGGCTTTGCTCTCCAAGCCAGTGGACAGTGTTAGTAAGCCAGTCTCGGAGAAGGTGCCCTGGCTGGGTCCCCAGCGGACATCAACCGGTCTTCAGGCGCCTTACTCCTTAATGGTCATGGAACCTCTGACATGCAAGCAACTAGCTGCTCTGTGCATAGGTGTCCTGCCTGTGAAACAAGCTCCCTTAACCAGGGCTGTCCGAGGGCCGAGGTGATGCCTGTGAAGCACTCAGTGCAAGGCCTTGTGAGTTGAGGTTACAACGCCTTTCAGCATCAGAAACTGACTCAGTTCAGTTAACTTTGTTTTTCCCTGGAAATTGGATGAGTATAGAATGTCAGGGTGTTACCTGGCCATAGCACAGTGGGGCAGCTGACCACTGCTGGGTAAATTGCATCTGGACTGTGAATTCGCTGCACAACCTTTAAATACACTGGGCTTCCCCGTTGGAGGAGTCTCCTCGCAGGGATCCTGGAAGCTCTGTATGGGGGTTGTCACAGCAGATCTTGGCTCCTTTGGGGCTGGGGGCCTGCACAGCTCCTATACCCAATCAGCTTGCACTGGAATTGCCACCTGGGGGTGACCTCACCTGTCAGGCGAAAGGATTAGAGCCTTCTGGCTCCAACATTCTGTCAGTTCTTACAATTAAAAATATCCGGGGCTGGCCGAGCGGTGCGTTGGTTAAGAGTTGGCTTGGGAGCACAAGCTCTGAGCACCAGGGCTGCTGGTTCGGATCCCACATGGGACGGTGACGCTGCACCCTCTACAGCTTGACCTGGAGCTGGACTGCCGTGAGCGGGGTTGCAGTGGGCTGCCGTAAGCTACCGTGAGTGGCTGGCAGCCAGTGTGAGCTCCCTCCCGTGAGCCGCCGTGAGTGGCCGTCCAATGGCCTACGAGCTACCTTCTCACCCTGCAAGAGCGCAAAGATCACAATACCAACATGGGCCAGTGAAGCAACGTCCTCCACAGCTAGACTGAAGAACAAAAGGACAGCAACTTGTCTGTTCCCCTTTCCTGATTCCCCAGCGCTGTTCCCTCCCCCAATTCCCCAATAAAATCTTTAAAAAAAAAAAATCCGTTGAGAGCCTACTATGTGGTAGGTGCTGGGAATACATTGTTGAACAAAGCAGATCTACTCTGTGCCCTGAAAGCACTTAACAGTCCAATGGAGGAGATCTTGTCAATAAAAGTGCCGCCCAAACAGTAGTAAAAGAGCACCCTGATAACTTGCACATTGGCTGTGAGAGTGCAGTGGGGGGTGGACCTAGTCGGGAGGTCAGGGAAGCCTTCTGTGCACAAGTCAGGATGGAGCTGGGATCTGATGGATGAACAGGCATTAACAAGATAAAGAAGGGAGGGGGAAGATTCCTTAAAGAGACAATAGTATGGGCGAAAGCTTGGTGGGGTATGGCGTAAATTGGAGAGAATAAGGTCTGGTGTAGCGATGCCATTCAGGTCCTCAGAGGCAGGGCTGAGAGATCCCTTAACGACCTGCTGCAGCCCCGGATGCGGGTCAGTGAGAGCTGATGCCCAGTCATGCTGCTGTTATTTTTACTTCTTCATTTTAAGAGCAGTGAGAAGCAGGTTAATGCAGGGTGGGGATGTGTGTGGCTGGAGGAGAGGTTGGCTTGAATTGATTTACATTAAAAAAAGCTGACTCTGGCTGCAGGATGATGACATCAAGTATGACGGGAGTGAAATTTGAGGAACTTTTAGTGAAAGGGTTTTAATGGTTAAAGAAGCCCAGCATTTGGGCCGGGTTTATAAAGCATCGAATGGGGATTAGCAGCAGGAGAGGAAAAGGTTGACTTTTAATTTCATGGGTCTTGGCTGCAGCTTGGCTTTCCACCCCTACCCCATTTTTGGCTTCCATGACCCAAAATCACCCTTCTATGTTGCCAAACTACAGATCGAAGGAAGGTGGATGTGGAGCTGTAACAGGAAGTTCCTAAGCATATCTCAGCCAGGAGCAGAAAACCTTCAGGGCATTCAGAAAAATAAATCGAGCCCCACAGCATCATGTTCTATAGCTTGGAGAACTGTTCCTGGCATTGAAGACAGACATTTTCCATCAAATAGGATGAATGAAAATCACATTTCTCTTTTTTTTTTCTCTCTCTCTCTCTCATCCCTCCAGGCTTATATTTGGCACTCTTTACCCTGCATATTATTCATACAAGGCTGTGAAATCGAAGGACATTAAAGAATATGTAAGTAGCACTTTTTGAGTTGGGGGAACTGGTTGTGAATTGGTGGGAGAAGGTGGGTGCTCTCTTTGAGGTGGGCACTGGCAGCAGGCCAGAGGAGTCCCTTTGTTACTCTTTTTCTCATGAAACATGCCAGGTATGTCCCAGGAATGCTCTCCCCTGTCTAGACCTCCCCTTTAGGAAAGCAGGAAGGTTTGACAAGACGAAATGGCACCTGGAATCGGAGGCCGCCCAGTCTGTCACAGGCCCCTGTATGGCCTTGCATGAGTGACTTCACCTCTCTGAGCCTCGGTTTTCTTGTCTGGAAAACACTATGTTGGCTGTAAAGCACCGTTATTGGGCGACAGTCTGGCGTCGGGGGCAGGAACACGGGTCCTAGAGTCCAGCAGACCTGGTTAAACTCCTGGCTCTGATTGTTCCCCATTCCAATTCTGTGATTCATATGCCCCAGGATTTAGGCCCTGTTGCTCTATAAGCTTTTAGAAGGCAGGAGCTGTTCATCATTCTATAACTGTTTGCCGGCAGCACTTGGGAGAGGGCTGAGCACGAGGGAAGGGGCTCCATAGTACTGACCAGTTTGGAGGATGTATTATTGTTGGGTGATTTGGGAGCTGCAGTCCCAGCCCTAGATGTGCTGGGCGCCTCTAGGCAGGACCCATCAGGCTACCCCTGATTAACAAAGACCTGCAGGAGTGGATTGTGAGGGAAGGAGAGGGACCCAGGTCAAAGTACAAAGAGTGTGGATTTTGTCATCGAGAGCATGAAGTCAAGTCCTGGCTCTGACATTTGACTGATGCGATGCTTGGCAGGAAGCTTAACTCCCAAGAGCCTCAGTTCCTTCACCTGAGCGGTGGGGTGGATATCAACAATCCTGGCTCCCAGTGTTGTGAGGAACAAAGAAAGGGTCTTTGCTCTTCCTTTTTAACTCAGAAGGTGTCACTTGGTAGGTTTGGTACACAGAAAGAAAGAATTCAAAGTAGGTTTGGAAAGTCATTATATTCTTTCTCAGATTTTCCAGGATGTCTTTATGATGAAAGCAGCCACCCCAGATCAACTGTAACCAGAACTCACCCTCCCCCCGCCCCCCACTCTCAGTTTCCCAGAACTCCTTGCTCTGGCTGGCATTTGCTCCTTATGCAGGGGATCCAGACAGGGGTGGGTTCTCCCCGGAGACCTGAGACCGGGAGCCTCAGAGTGTGAACTATAAATAGCTGCAAACCCTCATGATGCCAAGTTGACTTGGCGCAGGGGCTAAGCCGTGGGAGCCTCTTCCAGGTCTCCCTTCCCCTGACACCTTCCAGCCTCAGGCACAGGGAAGCTGGGCCAGGTAAGGAGGCAAAACTGGGGTCACTGCGGCTCAAGGTCTGAGCCTGTGCTTTGCAGGGGCAGAAACACAATTCTGTCAGCTCATCTGGGAGAGATCAAACCCTGCCGAAATGTTTTCCTCTGACTAAACTGCTAGGAGTCTGGCTTATGACAAGAATGGCAATTCATTAATTTAGATTGAAAATATAACTGACAGGCAGACCAGCTGTTTGTGTTGGCTGGTGAACACATGCTTTTCTCAGTAGGAAAAGCGTGAGAGTCAAGATTAGAAGGTTTCTTGGTAAAAATGGAATTAGAAGAAAGGAGCTGAATAGTATTAGGGGAGACTCACACACACTCATTTCTTTCCCTTCGTTTGATCACATACCCATTTGTCCAAGAGAAAAACCTGGGACTTTCCTTCTATCCGGCCTCTTCCTCACCACCCAACCCTGTACACACACACGTGGTTGGTGACTATGTCCCTTCATCTCTATCCCCCTAATCTTTCAAACCAGGTCTCTCCTTTTCTGCTGCCACTCCCTTAAGTGAGGTTTTCATCATTTCTTCCCTGGAATATTGCAATAGCCTCCTGTATTCGGTTTTTTTTTTTTATTGCCACTGTAACAAATTACCATGAACTCAGTGGCTTAAAACAGCACAAGGCTCTAGGGGAGAATTCATTTCCTTGCCTTTTGCAGTTCCTGGAGGCCACCTGCATTCCTTGGCTCCAGCCTCTCTCGCCATCTTTCAGAGTCAACAACGTTGCATCTCTGACCGTTCTTCGGTAGTCACATCTTCCTCTGACCACAGCTGGGAAAGGGCCTCCACTTCTAAGTATTCGTGTGATTACATTGGGCCCACTTGGGTAATCCAGAATGATCTTCCCAACTGAACGTTCTTAATTTAATAACTCTGTAAAGTCCCATTTGCTGTATAAGGTAACATAGTCGCAGGTTCTGGAGACTAGTGAGGACTTTGGTGGGGGGAGGGGACACTGTTACTCTGTCCACCACACTTCCTAACTGCTTCTCCTGCCTCCTGTCTTTCACCTCACATTCTCTTGTCTGCATAACTTATAGAAGCCTTTTAAAAAATGGAAATCTATTTATTTCACTCCCTTGGGATCCTTTAATGGCTGCTTGATAGAGCCTAAACTTCGTTATACAGTGTTGAACACCCTTTATCTTGGCTCCTTCCTACTTTCCAGCTTCTTTTCTACAAGCATTGAGTGCTCTCAGTCTCAATACCCAAAGTGTGGTCTATGGACTAGAATTACCAACATCTCCTGGGAGCTTATTAGAAATGAATCTCAAGCCCTACCCAGACCTCCTGAATAAAAATCGGACTTTTTATAAGATCCTCAATTTGAGAAACACTTCTCCCAACATTCATAGCTTCTTATGTCTTTCCAAACTTACTGCACTAATAAAGGTCTTTGGAGAAAAACTTAAACAGAAAGGAACTTATGGGAATTTGTAGAACTAACTAGAGGGCTGGGGAAAGATACTCAGAAATTGGGGAGGATTGAAGAACGCTGTGTAACAGCCAAGCTTATACCACAGAAAGTGTCTGGCTAGGAAGCTGCTGCCAATGTCACCACCATGGACACTGGCTGCCAGCTTCCTGTGCCTTTGGAACATGCTCCGAAGATTCAAAATCCTGGATAGGGGCATTTGATTTTTCCAAGCCTAGATAACAGGCCTTGCCTCCCTCAAAGTCCCTCATGTTGGGAGACAGCCTTCAAATTAGAAGGCTTTGGATGCTAGCAATGAAATATATATATACATATACATATATATATATATATATATATATATATATATATATATATATACACAGAGGGTGCCAAAAAAATGTATACACATTTTAAGTAAGGAAAATGGTATTAAAATTGTAACACTCAAT